GCTTCAGCAAAGGCATTGCCACATGCCCTAAGCGTCGGTGTGCCGTTGCCCAATCTGTCTCCCCAGATCTGGCCGACACTTTCACACCAACCCCTCCAACAGCGTTGCACTCTCTTTGGGATGCAGACCCCTCTCCAGCCTGCCCCCCACCGTGCCATGTCAGCGCCGACAGCTCCTACATAGATGTACACATCCTTGCTCTCGTGCAGATCCCAAAGCACCCGATTGCCCAGCTTCCCCTTATAAGTGCGAGCCCCATCCGTGTTGGTGTTCACCCCAATCTTGCCAAGCTTACGGAGCGAGATAAGGTTGGCTTTCAGGGCGGGGATGAGGAGAACGTCGTGCAGCACCACCGGCTTGCCATCTGCTCCCTTAAACGCAGCTCGTCCCGCACCAGCCACCTTCAACATGCGCCCAGAGGCGGAGCACACCTTGTTAATCGGTGCAGCGCGTACGTCGTCCAGCAGGTCCTTGCGCGGCGTCATCGTCCAAGCAGCGCCTGTGTCCAACACCCAATAGTCCAGGGGGTGCAGCTCTGCTCCAACCTTAGCAGATGCGTCTCCTTGCTCCCCCTTGTCTCCCACATGGAAGAATTGGCCCGCGGTGCGCTCCTTCTTCTTCTCCGCACCGCCGTTGCCCTTCGGGTTGTTGTCGGACGAATCAGCGACCATGTTGGCGCCATTTTTCTGGTTCCTCCGCACGCCGCCATCCTGGTGACGATTCTGGGGGGTCCATCCATCGGGTTTCTTATAGCACAAAAACCAGGGGTGCCCTTCCTTCTCACAATACCAGCAACTCCCTTTCATTTTGCCACCAGCACCCAACTTGCCCCCATGTCCAGATTTCGCACCGCGACCCCAACCGGTACCTCGTTGTTGGTCGTTGGAGTCGTCGTCCTTCTTTGCACCGCGTCCAGCACCACCGAAGCCACGTCCTCTGCCACGTCGGCTCCCTTGCATCCCGTAGCCGCTGCTGCCGTCGTCTCCACCCCTCAGTTGGCGGCGACGGAAGTCCTCCTCCAGAATCTTCGTCCGCACCCACTCGAGCGTCCACAAGCTCTGGTTCTGCGGCAGGCTCAATCCGCCAGTGAATTGAAGCCACGATTCCGGCAGCAGCAAGAGCATCTTCAGGCATTTGGTCTGCTCCGGGTAGGTGATTTCCGCGGTCGCCAACTTCGCGTAGAGGTCACGCATCTTGTGTAGAACAGGTTGCACCGTCTCTCCCTCGCTCAAGCGCAACGCGGACAGCTCCCTCTCCATCATGAGCGTCGCGGCGACGGAGGTCAGGGCGTGCAGCTCCTTCAACACGGTCCACGCCTTCGGACCGCACTCAACCTCCGGCAGCAGGTGCATGACGTGGTGACGCTGATTCAGCTCCAAACTCTGCGACATCAAATAGTAGCCAGCCGAGGCACGCTCGTCCCAATCTTCCTGAAGGGCGGGGTCACTCGGTCTAGGCTCCTCCCCAATCATTAGTTTCAGCAAACCGATCTGACGGAAATATAGTTGCATTTTCCAGGCCCAATCATCATAGCCCTCACCATTGAACTTCTCAACGGTGAAATTCTTCAGCACCTCCTTGATCAGCGAGCCCTGGTTTGTTCGCGCTCATATTGGCGCCGAAACACCAGAATCTTGGCTACCGCTACGATCTTGGGCTGAAGATTCACCAGCTCCTGCCGAGGTGTTGCCCGCCATAGCTACCTATAATGAGGATCACTATAACGCAGCTCTGATACCAGCTTGTTGGTGTAAGGGCCTAATTAACTCAAGCTATTAGGACTTAATCAAACTTAATACCTCTCCTCGGGGTCACCTCCAAGGGTCCTTGGGTGCCTGGTACAAGACCAGCCCCTATCCTCAGGTCCGAGTCTGTTGGGTGCAAATTGACTTTGCACGACATCTTGCCGTCTGTTTGTACGAGTATGCGTGTGCGAATGCATTTGAGTATGCATGGTGTGTTCTCGTGTTTGTTTGCTTTCGCAATTTTCGCTTGAAGCATTTGCAGGTACTCGCGCAATGTGCGCTTTGGCACAACATTGTACGCGCTATGAACAGTGCAAGCAGAAAGGAGGAGCTCGCAAAGGAACCCAAGATGGAAGCTTTGCAGTTCGGTTGAATTGATTGCGCAGATTCAGTTCTATCCAACTCGAAATTGTACTGTTTTGTTTGGTTGACTATAGTGTAGCAGGGAAGGCACTATAGGGGTACAATTTAGGTGAAGGTTGGATGTTGTTTGTCTGTATCTGCATGCTACAAGGCCAGGGGAAACCAGCAGAACCAGCATTTGGCTGGTTGGGCAAAGACGAAACAGGTTCTGTTTTTAGAACCTGAACCTGGTTGTTGTTTTCCCAGGTTGGAAAAACAGAACCAGAGGTTGTTTACCAACCTACCACCTGCCATTTTGTCCAGCCAGGTTGGTTCTATTGCTTGGAATTATTTGGGATCATCCCTGGTTGTTCCCAGGTTGATTACCAAGATCCTTGCTAGCTAGAACTATTTAATCCTTCTCTGTTTGTACTTGAATATAGTCAATTTATTGAAGCAAATTCCTTCCTTGCTGGAATTTCGTTCTCTACGCGGTTCAACGGCGTGATGCTACCCAAGTCAACGCTAGTACGCTAGCACTCTAATGCTAGGCAAACGCTGTCCGAGCCATAACTTTGTAATGGCAGAACTTTTCGTGAGGCAACTTGGCTTATTTTAAAGCTCTTGGAGCGAGCTTCGATATAGCAATTTCTCAGCTTAATCCGATCGACGGTCTGCACGATACGCTGCGCGACGTTCAAGGTACTCTTGCTGTTTTGACTAAGTCCCTCTTGATCCCTCTCTCTAGAAACTCGGACCCGAGGATAGGGGCTGGTCTTGTACCAGGCACCCAGGGACCCTTGGAGGTGACCCTGAGGAGAGGTTTTAAGTTTGATTAAGTCCTAATAGCTTGAGTTTATTGGGCCCGTACCCCAACACAGGTAAGTAGCGCACTTACTCGTAGTACCAACTATACGGGTTACATATTGCACTTACTTTAAGAACCAGCTTTATGGGTCATTGACACACCTATTCTTAGTACTAACTATTCGGGTAAGTAACGCACTTACTCTTAATACAAGCCATAGGGGTATGTAACGCACTTACTCTTAGTACCAACCATACGGGTAAGTAATGCACTTACTCTTAGTACCAACTATACCGGTAATTACGCACTCACTCTCAGTACAAGCCACACAGGTAAGTAACGTGCTTACACTTAGTACGAACCATAAAGATAGGTGACGCACTTACTCGTATACCAATCATATGGGTAAGTGACGCACCCACTCTTGATACAACCCATATAGGTTAGTAATGCATTTATTCTTAGTACAAGCTATACGGGTAGGTAATGCACAGACTGTTAGTAAAAACATATGGGTAGTAACACAATTACTCCAAATACCACCCATTTAGGTAAGTAACACGCTTACTCTTAGTATTAACCATACGTGTAAGCAACGCACTTACCCATAGAACCATATGGATAAGTAACGCATTTACTCTTATTATTATCTATTTAGGTAGGTAACGCACTTATGCTTACTACGAATCGTACCGTATGCAACGTATTTACGCATAGTACCAACCAAATGACTAAATAATCCACCTACTCTTAATACTACTCATTTGGGTTAGTGACGCACTTAGTCTTAGTACCAATGATAGGGTAAGTGATGCACTTACTGTTAGTACCAATGAGTGGGTAATGACGCAATTATTCTTAGTACCAACCATACGTGTAAGAAATGCATGTGCTCTCAGTACCAACCATTTGGGTAAAAAATAAATGCACGAATTCTTAGTACCAGCCAAGCGGGTAATTAACAGTAATACTTTAAGTACAAGCCATAGAGGTAAGTAACACACTTACTCTTAAACCACCTATACGGGTAAGTAAGAAACTTACTCTTAATGGTAACCGTACAAAAGTAACGCACTTACTCTTACTACCAACCCTAAGGGTATGTAACACAACCCTTAGTACAAGCCACACATATAAGTAACGCACTTACTCTCGATTCAACCCATACAACTTAGTAATGCATTTACTCGTAGTACAAATCATACAAGTAGGTAACGCACATACTCTTAGCACAAAAACATGGGTTAGTGAAACGTTCTTGGCAGGGAGGTAGCGGCCTTAGTAGGATAGGTAAACGGGTGTGAAGTGCTCTCTGGAGTTCTCTGGAATTTTCACTATGACTTCAACAAATTTCACACACAATTTTATAGGATGCATTCACAAGTCGAGTCGCACTACCAAGTCGCGACACTCTGAATTTCTTATTGGTAACTCTACCCCTTGAAATGAACCTTGCCGTGAAATTCAGAGATTGATTGTGATGCGAGATTAGATGGCGAGCTTGGTTACGGGGCTGTAATTTCGTCGGCACCGTTGGCGAAGTCGGCGAGGGGTCGGAGCTTGACTTTTCTGAGTTTCGTATTTTTCGCGCGAGGGTGTGGTTTGGGCTGCGTGTCTTCAAATGCTGGGAGGGGAGGCTGGCCAATCCCAACCCTGCGTAGTATGGGAGTTTGCAGCCTCCCACTTGCCGGTGGGTTGGCACTGTGTGGCTGCCCAACTGTAACAGTGGGCTGCCGCACTGTTGCATTACTTCCCCCCCCAAGAGGCGACGTCCACGGCGCCAAGTTGTGGGCAGAGAGGTAGCGGGTCATGGCAGTGGCGGCACAGTCAAGGGCATGTTCAGGTTCCCACGTGTCGTCTTCCGGTGGCTGGTTCTTCCAACGAACAAGGAACTCCCGACCAGTAGGGGTCTCACGGTGATTGATGATATAGTCAACTTAAAAAAGGTTGGTGCTGCCTTCAAACATGGGTGGGAGTGGACGTGGTGCAGGTCGGTTGGGTGGGGGTGGAACAAATGGTCGGAGTTGGCTGACATGAAAGACGGGTGAGTGTGCATGTAACTCGGTAGTTGGAGACGGTAGGTGACGTGAGAAAGAACCCGAGTGATGGTGAATGGGCCGATGAAGCGTGGAGAAGAAGAAGAAGAAGAAGAAGAAGAAGAAGAAGAAGAAGAAGAAGAAGAAGAAGAAGAAGAAGAAGAAGAAGAAGAAGAAGAAGAAGAAGAAGAAGAAGAAGAAGAAGAAGAAAAGAAGAAGAAGAAGAAGAAGAAGAAGAAGAAGAAGAAGAAGATGCCGAAGAAGTGGCAGGTGATCGGTTGACAAGAGCAGTTGGTCTCCCTCTTTGAATCAGATGTCGCGGCGACTTTGCATGGCGGGTCTGATGTGCTTGGGATTTGAGAATGGAGTTTCGAGCTGCGGCGATGGTAGAGTCAAGAGAGGAGAGAAAATCCAGAGCTGCAGATGTATGGTTGAGGTGTGAGGGTGGGGTGGTAGGGAGACGTGGGTGTTGTCCCGTGGCTAGGTAGAAGGGGGGCTGTCCGTGGGGGCTGCTGTTGTAAGCGAGTTCGATGCTTGAAAGGTGTAAGTCCCAATCAGTTTGACGAGCGTTGACGTGAGCGCGGAGTGCATCTTCGAGGGTGCGGTTCATACGCTCGGTTTGGCCATCGGTTTCAAGATGGTAAGCGGTAGAGAAGCGAAGTCGGGTGCCGTAGAGTTTGAAAACACTTTGCCAAATGTTGCTGAGGAAGCGCGGGTCACGATCAGAGATGATGGCTGATGAGATCCCATGAAGGCGGATGATATTGTCAAAGAAGAGACGTGCTGTTTCAGGTGCGGTGACGTTGGTGTGGGTCGGGATGAAATGAACCATCTTGGAGAGTCGGTCAACAACCACAAGAATGGCATTGTAGTTGCAAGGTGTGCGGGGCAGCTCCATGATGAAGTCCTCAGTAAGCTAGGGATGGGCTGAAGAAGTCCATAGCGGTTGGTTGAACGGGCTGTGATTTGTGTGACCCATCGTCATGCCGTTGAAGCGTTGGAACGCAGCGAAGTTGATCGTGTTAAAGCGTTCTGCCACACGGATCATATCATCTATTGACGTGCATCCGCGAAGCTCCACTTTGGTGTGAATTTTTGGTTTCAGCCCACTCTTGAACTTATCCATCTGCTCGGAGGTAGGGATGTCGGGAATCTCCAGCACCAACTCCCGGAAACGGTTGACGTATTCAGCTACGGAGCGGTGTTGGCGTAGTGCAGCGAGGTTGTCACGAGCGCGTTCAACCGTGTTGACAGGTTCAAAGTTCATGGTGAGCGATGCTGAAAATTCTTCCCATGTTGAAATTGTAGCGTGGCAGCTCTGCCACCAAGTAGCAGCAGCTCCCCGCAGCATCATGCCAGCGTGACGCGCCCTTTCTGCTTGGTTCATGTGGCATAGGGAAAGGTACTCCTCCATTTGGAATAGCCACCTTCGCACAAGTAGGTCTCGTTTTCCAGGCACAAACAGCTCAGGTTCCGGTGCTTTTAGACGTGCAGAGACCACATCAGGTGCTGGCGCCGGCACCTGTGTGCCCAGGAGTCCACGTTCCTGGAGTTCGCCGAGAATCCGGTCACGCACCTCGCGTTCAATCTCTCGGCCACAAATTCGTTCCAGAGTTCCGGCGTCAGATCGGACGGTCCAGCCATAGGGTCTAGTATATGGCGGGAGCGCGCGAAATAACCAACTTGGCTCTGATACCAGTAAAACGTTCTTGGCAGGGAGATAGCAGCCTTAGTAGGCTAGGAAAACGGGTATGACGTGCTCTCTGGAGTTCTCTAAAATTCCACTTCAACAAATTTCCACTATGATTTCAACAAATTCCACACACAATTTTATAGGATGCATTCACAAACCGAGTCGCACTACCAAGTCGCGACACTCTGAATTTCTTATTGGTAACTCTACCACTTAAAATGAACCTTGCCGTAAAATTCAGAGATTGATTGTAATGAGGGATTGGACGGCGAGCTTGGTTACGGGGCTGTAATTTCGTCGGCACCGTTGGCGAAGTCGGCGAGGGGTCGGAGCTTGACTTTTCTGCGTTTTGTATTTTTCGCGCGAGGGTGTAGTTTGGGCTGCGTGTCTTCAGGTGGGCGCCCAAATGCTGGGAGGGGAGGCTGGCCAATCCCAACCCTGCGTGGTTTGGGAGTTTGCAGCCTCCCACTAGCCGGTGGGTTGGCACTGTCTAGCTGCCCAATTGTAACAGTTAGCTACCGCACTGTTGCAGTAAGTGACGCACTTACTCTTAATACCACCCAAATGGGTAAGTAACGCACTTACTCTTAGTACCAACCATATGAGTAAGATGAATTTACTCTTAATATTATCCATTTGGGTAAGTGACGCACTTACTCATAGGAAAAGTAACGCACTTAGTAGTAACAACGACATGGGTAAATAACGCATCTACTCTTAACACTACCCATTTGGGTTAGTGAAGCACTTAATCTTAGCACCAATGATAGGTTAAGTGACGCATTTACTCTTAGTGCCAATGATAGGGTAAGTGACGCACTTATTCCTAGTACCAGCCATACGTGTGAGTGATGCACGCACTCTTAGTACCAACCAGTCTGGTAAAAAACACACAAATTCTTAGTATCAGCAAAATGGGTAAGTAACACGCTTACTCTTATACCACCCGTACGGGTAAGTGAGAAACTTACCCTTAGTACCAACCGTATAGGTAAGTAACACACTTACTCTTAATACCAACCCTAAGGGTACGTAACTCAACCCTTAGTACAAGCCACCATATAAGTAACGCACTTAATCTCGATACAACCAATACAACTTAGTAACGCATTTAAACGTAGTACAAACCATACGGGTAGGTAAGGAACACACTCTTAGTAAAAAAATACAGGTAAGTAACTACCCAAATGAGTAAGTAACGCACTTACTTTTGGTACCAACCATATGGATAAGTAATGAATTTACTCTTATCAATTTGGGTAAGTAACGCACTTACCCTTACTACCAATCATACGGAAAGTAACGCAGTTAAAAATACCACCCATATAGGTAAATGACGCACTTACTCCTAGTACCGACGAAACGGGAAAGTAACGCACTTAGTCGTAGTAACAACAATAACGTACCTATTTGGGTTAGAAACACACTTATTCTTAGTACCAGTGATAGAGAAAGAAACATAACTACCCTTAGTACCAACCATATGGGTAAGTAACGCATTTACTCTTAGTACCAACCATACGTATAAGTGACGCACATACTCTTGGTACCAACTATATGTGTAATAAACGCACTTATTTTTAGTACCAACCATACGATCAGTAACGCACTTACTCTTGATACCATCGATTATAACAAGTAATGCACATACCTTTAATAACAATCATACTGTAAGTAACGTACTTATTCTTAAAAACTACCATCGGGTAAGTGACGTACATACCCTTAATACCTCCCATACGGGTAAGTAACACACTGGCTCCTAATACAAGTCACAAGGGTAAGTAACGTACATTCTCTTTATACCACCCATACGGAAAAGTAACAAACTTACTCTTAGTACCAACCATACAGGTATGTAACTCAACCATTAGTACAAGCAACACAGGTAAGTAACGCATGTACTCTCGATACAACCCATACAGGTTAGTAACGCATTTACTTGTAGTACAAACCATACGGGTAGGTAACTCACAGTCTGAGTACAAAAAATACGAGTACGTGACGCACTTACTCTTGATAACACCCAAATGGGTAAGTACTGTTCTTACTCTTAATTAATCATACATGTAAGTAACCCACTTACTCTTAGTACCAACCATATGGATAAGTAACAAATATATTCTTAATATTATCTATTTGGGTAAGTAACGCACTTACCCTAACTACCAATTATACGGAAAGTAAAGCACGTACACGTACCACTCATACAGGTAAGTGAGTGACGCACTTATTCCTAGTACCAACGAAACGGGAAAGTAACGCACTTACTCATAGTACCAAGCATATGGGTAAATAACGCACCTACTCTTAATACTACCCATTTCAGTACGTAACGCACCGTACCAATGATAGGGTAAGTAACATTCCTACTCTTAGTACCAACTATATGGGTAAGTAACGCACTTACTCTTAGTACCAACCGTACGTATAAGTCACAGTGTGCCACAGTGTGAGCACTCCTGGTAGTCCAGAGAGCCACGACCCCCTGTGGCCTGAGTAGTCCGGGGCTCTGCGCCCGGTAGCCACAGTGTGAGCACTCCTGGGAGCACAGCGAGCCAGCTGCGCCTGTCGCCGTGTAGTCCGGGTTTAGCCTGGTAGCGTCAGTGCTGCGCACTCCTGGTGCCATGTGTCTGCAGCTTCAGCAGTCGCCTCCCATCTTCTCGCCCCCACAGTTTCTCCTCCTCCTCACTTGCCCTCTGTGATAATCTGTAGCTTTGCTTATCATTGTCAACTATTGCTATACCTGCTTGTTGTGCTGATTATACCCCACTTTGACTATGGGGGTGTGTCAGAATGTTATGTTTGTCTAGCCTGCAATGGGGTACTCTATAGTGAGTACAACCCAAACTAGGGTTTCCTATATGTATCCTACCTGCTGCTAGTGCAAAACTCTCTTTGCTGTTTCTATCGTTTGCCTAGCTTTCTCAACACTGTGTTGGTGTTCACCCCAGCCTTGCCAAGCTTACGGAGGGAGATAAGGTTGGCCTTCAGGTCGGGGACGAGGAGAACGTCGTGCAGCACCACCGGCTTGCCATCTGCTCCCTTAAACGCAGCTCGTCCCACACCAGCCACCTTCAACATGTGTCCAGAGGCGGAGCACACCTCGTTAATCGGTGCAGCGCGTACGTCGTCCAGCAGGTCCTTGCGCGGCGTCATCGTCCAAGCAGCGCCTGTGTCCAACACCCAATAGTCCAGGGGGTGCAGCTCTGCTCCAACCTTAGCAGATGCGTCTCCTTGCTCCCCCTTGTCTCCCACATGGAAAACCCGCGGTGCGCTCCTTCAACGCATCGACGTTGCCCTTCGGGTTGTTGTTGGACGAATCAGCGACCATGTTGGCGCCATTTTTCTGGTTCCTCCGCGCGCTGCCATCCTGGTGACGATTTTGGGGGGTCCATCCATCGGAATTCTTATAGCACAAAAACCAGGGGTGCCCTTCCTTCTCACAATACCAGCAACTCCCTTTCATTTTGCCACCAGCACCCGACTTGCCCCCACGTCCAGATTTCGCACCGCGACCCCAACCGGTACCTCCTTGTTGGTCGTTGGAGTCGTCGTCTTTCTTTGCACCGCGTCCAGCACCACCGAA